CTGCTATTGAATAACCCTATTCTATTACCAAAAAAAACATAACACAACACTGAATTTAGTATTTTGATCAGACCTATAGTCTGGTCACATTTGAATTTGCCTCTTTCCTTTTTTCACGATTCCTGTGCATGTGACGTGTGTTATTAAAAGCTCATAAAATATAACTATATAATTTAATTGTTTCGAAAAACCCGATATAAGTAAAGAAGAGGGCGGCTCCTATTTACATATCGGATTATCGAAACAATTAAAAAAAATTATCAGTGTTTCCCAAATTGCCGGATGTACGGAGCATCGATTTAAACATTGACGGACTTCCAATTTTTAAAAGTTCCAGGGCACAGTTATGGCCCGTTCTACTAAGAAATAATATCAATGCTCGCCCAGTTTTGCCCATTGGAGTTTTTATTGGCCATGATAAGCCATTTAAATGCGACGAGTTTTTGTCGAAATTTACGTCCGAGATGTCCGAAATAATTAAAAACGGTTTAACCATTAATAAAAAAAAAATTGGTTTGGAAATAAGAGCCATCGTTTGCGATGCACCTGCTCGATCATTTATTACTGGCACGCCTGGACATACGTCTAGCCATGGATGTAGCAAATGCACTCAAGTGGGACAAAAAGAATCTCGCATTTGCCGCTCACATTGCCAGGATCATATGACGGGGTAATTACAGCAATAGAGACACTTTCAGAGGAAAATATAACGCTCGCGTTAACTATAAAAACAATTATATAAACAACAATAGCTCTAAATTTAAACAAAAAAATTGTAATACAAATTATAATACACGCAAACCGTATAATATGAAACAAAAAGAAAATTACATAAAATGCCATCATTGTGGAAAGTTAGGATCTCTGCCCGGGCGGACCATATACTTCTCCGCAACTCGTGGGACCCCATGAAAAAGAACAAAAGTATAAAAATCCCGCAGGATATCCCCTTCTGGTTCCGGCCTCCGGTTCCTCGCTGATTAAGTGACTTTTCGACAGGACACAACTCTGCGGTCTCTGGGGCAGGCACTCACTACATCAGTTTCCCTTCATGCAGGACAAACTAATTTTATTGCACTTAATAGTGGGCATAATGGACAAAAATGGGCAGTTGAGAGGGGAGCGCCAATAACGATCTACTTTTATATATATCTCTTTATTTTTCATACTCAGATTGAACAAGTCCTTTAGCAAGTCAGAAGTTACAGATCGTTGGTAAAGAATGGATTTTTTAATTATTTGGGCGACTTCTGTCAACGCAATAGTGCCCTGAGCTGGCCGGAAATTCGCAAGGGAGGGGGCCCGGAAACATCTGAGCGAGGAGGAAAAGAGTCGCTACCAAATCATGTCCAGCACTGACACGGACATCGATGCCTTGCAAATAAACAATGAGATGTGCAACCATCCAATGGGCAGAATGGGCGGCGGCATGAAGGGGAAATCTTGGCAACCCCCAATAAAATTCAAAAGCTCATTTTCTCCTTGGATAGTAAGTAAACAAAATAAAATCTAACTAATTCAATTCTTATATTAATACAATTTGTATTTCTTAGAAGACGACTTTGTGAAGGAAACCCCGCAAAACAGCGGGGACCCATAGCAGGAAACCCGCCAAAGGACCAAATCGAAGAGCTCAAGGTTTGGGTTCGAGATTGGCAGGGAAAAGTGGATGCCAATACAAAGACCCTAGAAGCTAATACGAACCAGTTAGCTGAGTGCACCCAGCAGATTGAAAGTCCAAGGATGCAGAGGTACACGATTCGTTCCCGATCCAAAGTGAGGAGCAGCTGGTGACGTTGGATAATTAACGGCAATTCCGTGTTAATAAAATGTTGAAAAAGTTAAAGTTTAGTTTTGTGTATATATCAAGTTAGAACATTGGATAACTTTTAAAACAATTGAGCGGAAAATTTTTTCCCCTTACAAATTACGGATAATTAACGGCAAATTATGGTTAAAAAAATTTTTGATTTTGAAAGTTGTACTGCTACTTTCATGGACATGGCGGAAAAGTCGTCATCCGCAGCAGCCGAACGCGAAGGTCTGGAGCGGAAGGGCCGGCAGAACGACGACGCTGCCGCTGAGAAATATACGGACGGGGTCGCCTCGATGACAGGCGGTCGACCGATATTTGCAATCGATGGGTACTAGAAAATACTGGATTTCTTAATGAACGGTCACACCGATGCAGTCCTGGCAACTTATGACAACGATATCGATAACGGCAACGATAATGACAATTCTGAACCACACTATCGATAAACGCGAACGCGCATTTACCCTGAAAAAATACGATACGTCAATAGCTTTTACACTGTGCGAAATATCTTCAGTTCCTGCAAATTATATATGATTTTTTCTATGGGAGAAATGAATGCTAGTACCATTTTTTATTACATTCTCAATTGAGAAATGCTACCAAAATAAAATATCGTCAGATTTTTCAAAAGTAATGCCAACATTTAAATATTTTATATCACAAGTTTTGGGAAATCTAATGAAATATCCTTTTAGTAGGCTTAGCGTATGCTAACCTGCTGCCGGACTTGTTGTTCCCACTATGCCCACTGACGCTAATTCGATGGTGAAGCATTGCCTTGATGCTGCTTCGAGGGTCGCGAGCGAGCTTTCCTAAATAAGGGAATTGCCGATTCAAGGGCTACCCGTCGGAGCATCATATGCTGTCGCCGGGTTGCCCTTTGTAAATTAATGGATTGTGTTCTTTATATTTTTATATTTCCTTTATTTCCATACACCCGTTAGGGCATAGGTTAATTATTCGGATTTATAACAAAGCTTAAGCCCCGGAGTACAATTTTAGACTGACTGATAAATTACCGCGGCTGCAACTCCAGGCCTCCCTTGGGCGACGGCGCAGTCGCGTTAGTGCAGGGTCAGCACTTTGTGTCTGCCCAGCAACGATCACTCGTCGCAGGCGTGCTGGAGTTGGGCAGGCAGCGTTAGCCCCGGAATGCGCTGTCAGCTAATTTGGTCTTGCGCGTGTGGGCTATTGTATCCGGTGCGCAATTCGGCAGATTTTCTGCATTTCGGTTGCGCGTGTTAACTCCTCCCGCCTTTAAGTGGTCGCCGTCCCGGTGACCTGTCGCCTCCACGTCGCAGTTGTTTCTAGTTTTGAGGCTGTGCTTGGCTGTCCGATGATGATGGATGAGCCAGGCCGCAAAGCATAGAGAGATAGCGGCGAAGAAAATTACGGCATTGGTGGTAAACGATCCGGTTGTCATCCTTTCTCTCAGAGCGCCGATGTGGTGGAGATTTGTTAGGCTCAGTTCATGGAGTAACGGAAGACTGAGTCGATTTTGGTGGGCCGTAATGTTTACCAAGGTCATGGCTGAGACAGCGGGTTTCTTTCTTGAGCTTCCCAGTTGGTTAGTGTACTAAGTTCCATTTATTGATAGGCTGAGTAGGTTACAAGGTACGAACCGGATATTTCTTGTTTAAGCCCAAGGTCGTCGACTATAGTCACTTTGGCATCGTTGATGATAAGGGTACCATGATCTATTGTGGTAACCGGATCTAAATGCCCAGGTAGGGTGGAGCACTGTGGAGTGACCCCAGAAACCATTTGCTGTGCGCAGGTGTCGCCTTGCAGTTCCTTGCAGAAAGTAGCGCCTACTGTGGCCATACAGCTTCCGATGTTGACGATTCGTGTTGCGCATTCGGCGACCAAGTCCCCATTTTCGAAGTTCAGAATTTTGTTGTTGTGCTGAACTGGGTAGACTGTAATTTTTCTACATACTAACATAGACTTAGGAAATTTAATAAGGAAATGGATTATTTCAGAATTTTGAAAAACGCTTATGCTAGATACTTCTAAAATTTCTACTAAACTGATGTTAGTGGGCTGTTTGTTCTTGAATTCGCTAATGTCGCTGTTATCTAGGATGGCTGGGCTTACAATGTTAAGCTTTGCTAGGGTTAGGCCCATCAAAACATTTTCTAGGTCTGTGATAACTATTCTGTTTTTTGCCAAGATGATTTCTAAAAGATGTGCTTCTTTGTCTCTGTCTACGTTTTGAATTTGATTCAGGAATTTATGAGTGCATTTAATCTTTCTTGAAATTTAATATTTAATTCAGTTTGCCCTTCCTCGGCGTTAAATAATTGCTCCTGATTGAATTTAATTTTTTCCCAGTCATCAAAGTCGGGGGTTCCCGCAATAACCTTGAGTGCTGTTCCGACAAGGTTAATGCTTCTAGTATCCCTGTGATGGATTTTCAGGGTAGCGACCAGTTTGCGAATATGTCTTAGGTCCGTAATTATTACCTACGTCCTATGGTCGTCTTTAAGAGTTTCTGTCATTGTTTCTGTTTGGTCCGCATAGTCTTCGTAGGATGTCAAGTTTGTAGCGTGTTGTAGGTATCCGTAACTGTCCCAGATTACAATGTCACCGTCTACTATTGGAATGTAGTCCGCGTTCGTGTAGTTGTTGAGTTTAACCGTCGCGTTTGTCGTTACAGTCGTAAGTGTAAGTAGTAAGAAATATTTCGTAAACCTAAAAGAAAATTTGAAAGTGATAAATTTAATTTAGATTGTTTTATATATATATCTCTTTATTTTTCATACTCAGATTGAATATGTCCTTTAGCAAGTCAGAAGAAGTGGACGGAAGCCATAACATGAGTTACAGATCGTTGGTAAAGAATGGATTTTTTAATTATTTGCGCGACTTCTGACAACGCAATAGTGCCCTGAGCTGGCCGGAAATCGCAAGGGAGGGGGCCCGGTCCTGGAAACATCTGAGCGAGGAGGAAAAGAGTCGCTACCAAATCATGTCCAGCACTGACACGGACATCGTTGCCTTGCAAATGAACAATGAGATGTGCAACCATCCAATGGGCAGAATGGGCGGCGGCATGAAGGGGAAATCTTGCGCCAAGCCCAGAAAAGCCTCTGCTCGGCAAAAGAAGTCCTGTGCCATGCAACGAAGAAAGATGGCCTGTGCCAAGCCCAAAATAAGGGCGGTCTGTGTCAAGCCCTGAAAGGCGGCCTGTGCTAAGCCCAGGAGGTCGGTTTGTGCCAGGCCAAGGAAGCCGAAATGCGAGAGCAACTGCACCAAGCCGGGTCCAGTCATCAACAACGGGTATCTGAACTTTGTGCGTGAGTTCCGCAAGAGGAACTGTGACCTCAGTCCACAGAAACTGATCGCGAAGGCCGCCCGAGCTTGGCAGTGTTTGCCCGAGGAGGAAAAGGATCGCTTTCGCCGCATGGTAAGTCGTTTTCGTAAGCTTGGACTTGAATATAGGTTTTATTTCGCTCCCTTACAGGCCTGCAGGGTGGCCACCAGTCCGCGTCATAAGCGTCGCCGTGTTTGCAATATGCACTGAAATTCCCTCGATCGATCGAGTGCCATAAGATCCATTGAAGTCCACGTATCCTGTTTGATGAGTTGATCATGCGACTTCTGCCTGCAGGTCGAGATAATTTTTAAAAATATATTATTTCGATAATAAATGCCTTAAATCCATCTTATAACTACAAGATACACTGGTTTCTAAGATTTATACTATTCTGACTATTCTGTTTTGTTTAACTTAAATAATCGTTTTATTAAACAATTTGATTATTTTTTGTGGTATTGAACAGAAAGCAGTTAGGGTTGAGGCATTTGAAGTATGCTTTAATAAAATATACTTTTGATGGCTTCAGAATATGTAGAATGGTTCAAAGGCATGTAATAGAAAATAAATCAGTGAAAACTAACAATCCAACGATCAAAGTTAATTGAGGAATGTAAGATGAAATTTAATAGAATTAAATGTACGGGAGGCTGAGAACATCTTGGTTGGCAGTGATGTTGGAGTTCTCTTCTGGGCGTTAGCGTGATTGATGAACAGGGTTTCATTTATCATGGCCTGTTTATCGAAGGTGATAAGGTGAGTACCATGTATCCAGACTTCTGTCCCATTGTCCACTCGAACATTGGCAGACCTGTCGTTGATAATTACGATCCCTTCGTCCACGTATGTGATTGGGTGCAGGTCGCTCTGTTGTGTTCGACAATGCGTCATCCCCCCAGCATACAGTTCTTTGGCGCATGAACTCTCTGCCAAACGGCAGAATGTGGCTCCCGGTGACACGGAGCAGTTTTTAATGGCGTGAATTTCTCCGCCGCATTCCGCTATAATGTTGTCTGTTATCTGCAGCATTGTCTCACTATGAGCGACTGGAAAAATAGTTATCTTCTTGCATGCTAGTTTTAATTTAGGAAATTTTATGATAAAATGTAAAACGTTAACGGACTGCAGAACCTTCACGGACGAAACGGACAAAAGATCCCCTATGGGAGTGTCGGTGGGTTCCTCAAGCCAAATTGATTTTAAGTCTTCGTGGTCTAAAATGTTCGGACTAACAATATTAATTTTGGCAAGGGTTATTCCGGCCTCCGGTTCCTCGCTGATTAAGTGACTTTTCGACAGGACACAACTCTGCAGTCTCTGGGGCAGGCACTCACTTTGCAGGACAAACTAATTTTATTGCACTTAATAGTGGGCATAATGGACAAAAACGGGCAGTTGAGAGGGGAGCGCCAATAACGATCTACTTTTATATATATAACTCTTTATTTTTTATACTCAGATTGAATATGTCCTTTAGCAAGTCAGAAGAAGTGGACGGAAGCCATAACATGAGTGACAGATCGTTGGTAAAGAATGGATTTTTTAATTATTTGCGCGACTTCTGTCAACGCAATAGTGCCCTGAGCTGGCCGGAAATCGCAAGGGAGGGGGCCCGGTCCTGGAAACATCTGAGCGAGGAGGAAAAGAGTCGCTACCAAATCATGTCCAGCACTGACACGGACATCGTTGCCTTGCAAATGAACAATGAGATGTGCAACCATCCAATGGGCAGAATGGGCGGCGGCATGAAGGGGAAATCTTGGCAACCCCCAATAAAATTCAAAAGCTCATTTTCTCCTTGGATGGTAAGTAAACAAAATAAAATCTAACTAATTCAATTTTTATATTAATACAATTTGTATTTCTTAGAATAGAAAATTTTTGATTTTGAAAGTTGTACTGCTACTTTCATGGACATGGCGGAAAAGTCGTCATCCGCAGCAGCCGAACGCGAAGGTCTGGAGCGGAAGGGCCGGCAGAACGACGACGCTGCCGCTGAGAAATATACGGACGGGGTCGCCTCGATGACAGGCGGTCGACCGATATTTGCAATCGATGGGTACTAGAAAATACTGGATTTCTTAATGAACGGTCACACCGATGCAGTCCTGGCAACTTATGACAACGATATCGATAACGGCAACGATAATGACAATTCTGAACCACACTATCGATAAACGCGAACGCGCATTTACCCTGAAAAAATACGATACGTCAATAGCTTTTACACTGTGCGAAATATCTTCAGTTCCTGCAAATTATATATGATTTTTTCTATGGGAGAAATGAATGCTAGTACCATTTTTTATTACATTCTCAATTGAGAAATGCTACCAAAATAAAATATCGTCAGATTTTTCAAAAGTAATGCCAATATTTAAATATTTTATATCACAAGTTTTGGGAAATCTAATGAAATATCCTTTTAGTAGGCTTAGCGTATGCTAACCTGCTGCCGAAATTGTTCTTCCCACTATGCCCACTGACGCTAATTCGATGGTGAAGCATTGCCTTGATGCTGCTTCGAGGGTCGCGAGCGAGCTTTCCTAAATAAGGGAATTGCTGATTCAAGGGCTACCCGTCGGAGCATCATATGCTGTCGCCGGGTTGCCCTGTGTAAATTAATGGATTGTGTTCTTTATATTTTTATATTTCCTTTATTTCCATACACCCGTTAGGGCATAGGTTAATTATTCGGATTTATAACGAAGGTTAAGCCCCGGAGTACAATTTTAGACTGATTGATAAATTACCGCGGCTGCAACTCCAGGCCTCCCTTGGGCGACGGCGCAATCGCGTTAGTGCAGGGTCAGCACTTTGTGTCTGCCCAGCAACGATCACTCGTCGCAGGCGTGCTGGAGTTGGGCAGGCAGCGTTAGCCCCGGAATGCGCTGTCAGCTAATTTGGCCTTGCGCATTTGTGGGCTATTGTATCCGGTGCGCAATTCGGCAGATTTTCTGCATTTCGGTTGCGCGTGTTAAGTCCTCCCGCCTTTAAGTGGTCGCCGTCCCGGTGACCTGTCGCCTCCACGTCGCAGTTGTTTCTAGTTTTGAGGCTGTGCTTGGCTGTCCGATGATGATGTTAGTGGGCTGTTTGTTCTTGAATTCGCTAATGTCGCTGTTATCTAGGATGGCTGGGCTTACAATGTTAAGCTTTGCTAGGGTTAGGCCCATCAAAACATTTTCTAGGTCTGTGATAACTATTCTGTTTTTTGCCAAGATGATTTCTAAAAGATGTGCTTCTTCGTCTCTGTCTACGTTTTGAATTTGATTCATGGAATTTATGAGTGCATTTAATCTTTCTTGAAATTTAATATTTAATTCAGTTTGCCCTTCCTCGGCGTTAAATAATTGCTCCTGATTGAATTTAATTTTTTCCCAGTCATCAAAGTCGGGGGTTCCCGCAATAACCTTGAGAGCTGTTCCGACAAGGTTAATGCTTCTAGTATCCCTGTGATGGACCAGTTTGCGAATATGTCTTAGGTCCGTAATTATTACCTGCGTCCTATGTCAGTCTTTAAGTGTTTCTGCCATTGTTTCTGTTTGGTCCGCATAGTCTTGGTAGGATGTCAAGTTTGTAGCGTGTTGTAGGTATCCGTAACTGTCCCAGATTACAATGTCACCGTCTACTATTGGAATGTAGTCCGCGTTCGTGTAGTTGTTGAGTTTAACCGTCGCGTTTGTCGGTTCAGCCGTTAGTGTAAGTAGTAAGAAATATTTCGTAAACCTAAAAGAAAATTTGAAAGTGATATACTTAATTTAGATTGTTAGCGCAAATTGCCCTTATGGACCACCCTCCCTTAAATAAGGACCGTGGTCCCCAGGTCCGCTTCGATAGTCTCTTCGGAGCATAATGGTGACAATTTATTTCCCAAGCGTTTGTTTGCTTTTAGGAACACCTTGTCCCCGACTTGGTATTTTTTATGGGTTCTATTCTTGTTAACGTACTCGAGGGACCTTTCCTGTGCCTCCTGGATTTTTTCGTGAATTTTTTTCTCGACTTCCGTGGGTGTCGAATGTACTATTTCTATTGGTTTTTTTGTCTGTTACTGAGTGAATTGTTCTATTGTATTAACTAGTTGCTAGTAAAATTGTTTCTGTCGTGTCGTTAAGTTTATTTTCAAGTTTCAGGCATCTCGCTATTTCTGCAAGAGTGCTGTGAAACCTTTCTACCTGGCCGTTTGAAGTGTTGTGTAAGGGGGGTGCGTTTTGGATGGAAATGTCAAAATTGTTAAGCGGTATTGATTTAATTGTTTTAGGAATTAATTGACTTCTCGTTGTCACAATAAATAGTTTTTGTTTTAGGGAAAAAATTTATTATATTAAGTATTGGGGCTTTGATATCTACGTTGGCCCTAGAAGTAATTTTTTGAACTGCGGCGAATTTAGAAAACTTATCAATGCAGGTGAGAAACAAGTTTCCGTCTGTTGAAAAAATGTCAATGTGAAGTACTTCCCCTACGTAAGAGGGAACTAGTGTTTGTCCGACCGTCTGCTTGGTGGGGTGGCGATTGTATTTTGCCATAGAGCAATTTAGAGCAATTTTACAATTTGAAGTTACTTCTGTTGATAACCTGAGCATTTTCGGGAAGAAATAGTCTCGTAGGATTTGCTTTACATTTTCTTGAGCAGCGCGATGTGCTCTATTGTGCTCAGCAATTATGATTTATTTCTGTTCTGTTTTGTCAGTTATGTCCTGTACGAAAGTTTTTGAATATTTGAAAGTAGTGCTCGGGAATCGTTCGATCAACGGATGTTGAATAAAAGCTAAGATTGGGAGGGAACAATGTATTGCATTAACTACCTCAGAATTTACTGCATCCCCTGCTGTGTTTATTAAATCACTGCGGTCAGAGAATTTTATTACGTGTCTAGTTTTACTTTTGAATAGGATGAAATGGTCAATCGACGAACTGTTTCCTTCTTCGATAATTATCTGGTTTCTGAAACAGTTGACCGGGTTGTCTGTCGTGTCGATGGTATATGTTAATGACTGCTTGCTATGTATGGTTGCGGCGTCAGATTCTGGGATATCTTCTAAAGCATTTATATTTTGCCGTGACAACGCGTCCGCTACAAAATTTTCCTTTTCTGGTTTATAAATGACCTGTGCTCCATGGTCATCAATAATTCCTTTCCAACGTTTAAGTTTCGCGTTAGGATTTTTATCCGAAACGGCGAACGTTAATGGTTGGTGGTCTGTATAAATGCGTA